CACTCACCACAATCACAGCAACGCTTTGCAAGACAGACGTGTTCAACTCGTTATTTCTGAACTACTTTCTTTCTGCTCACACTCACAGACAAGAGTGTTGCATCAGCCCGGCTGCCTAACGTGGCTCTCATACATCTGTTCTTTTCGACTTCCACTGGACAATTCGCGTGTCTTCTGTTCCCTACAGCGATTTTTTTTTAGATGCTGACGTCTTTAACCAGCTACAGAGGTGGTCGTACACATTAAAATTTTCGCTTTTGACTCTCTTTCCCAACTTTACCCAGTACTCTCTTTTTCTTGATCATATACTTTAAACTTTCAAATAGAACATTTTCAAGCCTCAGTTTAGAAACGTCTATCATTTTATCTATCTATCTATCTATCTATCTATCTATCTATTTATCTATCTATCTATCTATCTATCTATCTATCTATCTATCTATCTATCTATCTATCAATGTGTTTTTGTTTCTGTTTTTCTGTTAAATACAAACGGAACTCTGTGCTAAGAATATAGCTTTTTATTGCAATCATCGCTTTCACTGTGTGGCTTGATAAATCGAAGCCTATAGGTAGGCCTATAAGTACAGACACGTTTGTTGCCTTTCTTCTTCCACAACGTAAAGTATCACTATGCCCATCTGACAATCTTCTTGCCTGCTACCACGAACTGGGTTGAGAGATTCTTGTAACTTTCCTAACCTTTCCTCACAGCTTTTTTTTTGTTGTTGCTGAAAATGGCCTTACCTTTTGTATTGTTTATAATCCAAGTTTGATTTGTAATAGTTGTTTGTTTTTTCTTATCTGCATGCTTGGTTCTACGTACAGTAGAAAATGTGAAAGTTACTTAAGTCCACGTTATCTTTTTTTTTCAAACCTTGCACTTGTGAAGATAATTAAAACTGATCATGCTCACTCTAAACAAATCAACTCACACGGGGATGATAGTCTAAATTAATTTCCTGGTCTTTTACTACAAACCTTTTACCACCGATTTCTGTCAAAAACACGCATTTATCTCTTTCTCCCTCAAAAGTGTTCCTTTTACGATGGACAATTTTACTCACCCGGTACTACAAAAATGTCGTGCTTCAGTACAAGCTCAATTATCTCCCTTTCCTGACTTCCGCTATCCAACGATGCTATCAAATAATCCTCTTCCGCTTTGCTTTGGGCTGTTGAAGAAACTCTCTGCTTTTCTCAGAATATCAGTCACTCCATCTCTCCTCCTTCCCTCCCTCCTCCACCCCTTCCCTTTGTCTGTTGGTCTGTCTGTCGGTCTGTCTGTCGGTTTGTCTGTCTGCTGTCTGTCTGTCTCTCTGTCTGTTTGTCTGTCTGTCCACCTATTGATATATTTCTATATGATATTTTCTATTTATGCCATTCGTGGAGTTGTTATAGCATTGCACTTTCGGTGAAGTAAATCCTTCTATCATCCAAAAAAGTTACAAATAAAATCTCTTTGATATTATATCACATGAATTATAATAACTTGATATGTCACGGGTGAAATATCAGCTGTAATTAGCATGAATTACTCCGCGCACTTTCTTCAGGTACACCCCTCTGCAAGCAAATCTAGCCTTGAATTCTAATATTCCTAGACTATGCAATGTTGTGGCGGCCGCTCTTTGCCCCTTATGAGTGCGCTCACCATGGGTGCCCAATGAAGTACCAAACACCAGTCACCTAGACTCCCTTTAGTTCGAAAGTACGCGCAACCTTTCTCCGTTGCCCTTAGGCACTTTTAATTTGTTTCCAAATTGGGACAAATGGTGCGCACGAAGTAAACAGCGATTATGTTAGAGTGCAGTTATGGATTAACATTAACAACAAAAGAGCACTGAAGCAAAACGTTATAGTGCGGTCAAAAATTTGTGGCGCAATCTTTTCCCAAATATCTCTTTAATTAATGGTTGAATCAATGTCATCCATACTTTGCACAGCAGTTTATATCAATTTGCCTTAACTTAATCAATTTTCCCACACCAGTTGAGCCTAGAGTTTAAAAAACCTTTCTTCATAAATTAATATAAAATACTATAAATCTACGTCACACGGAAAATGGGATTGCTTACAGTACTTCCCGCCTCTCACACATATTTTGCCTACGCATAATAATGATGGCCTACGTTACTTCTAACCAATGACACTTTTGTGGCAATACATTCGAGAAATTAATCTGATAGTGGAAACTTGTTTTACACTTTAAAGTCTGTATAACATGCGTTCAATAGCTTAATATCGCGATCAGAAAAAAAAAATGACTGACTTGTTTTAAAAAGCGACATTGTCCCAGCTGTAAACCTTTTAAAATCTGTAGAAGGAACCCACGAGGATTTTTAATTAGTAGGCCTATTTATTTAGAAATTCTTTAGAATACAGCTAACATGTGTTCATAAAAATATGTATCTGTTAAGACAAATTGATACAAGTCATTGTGCAACAGCTGAAAAGACTATGTTCGATAGTTTAGGAAATATTTAACAATATGTTGCTTTTTGACCGCACTATAATGGAAATCCAAAGAGAATACATCGAAAATTGTTCTTCATAATCTTTTATAGGTCTACAATACCTAGATTTACAGAGTGAATTTTGTGTTTGGAGATAACAATATAATATCATTATGTAGGTGCTTCATTTCATCTGATGTGAACGATTTACGCCCCAAGCAATACTATTCAAGATGGGGCAAACCCAAGCTAAAATATGTATGTATGTATGTATGTATGTATGTATGTATGTATGTATGTATGTATGTATGTATGTATGTATGTATGTATGTATGTATGTATGTATGTATGTATGTATGTATGTATGTATGTATGTATGTATGTATGTATGTATGTATGTATGTATGTATGTATGTATGTATGTATGTATGTATGTATGTATGTATGTATGTATGTATGTATGTATGTATGTATGTATGTATGTATGTGTGTGTGTGTGTGTATGTATGTATGTGTGTGTATGTGTGTGTGTATGTATGTGTGTGTGTGTGTGTGTGTGTGTGTGTGTGTGTGTGTGTGTGTGTGTCATATATTATGCATGCATAAATATATGTTATAATTATAAAGTTTTCTTTTTTGTTTAAAAAATATATGCAAAAAGCAGAGCAGACACAACTGTTTTGCTCCTATCCAGAAATAGGTTCTACTGAAAACTTATATTGTCTGTCAGAGCGTATTTCCGACAGAAGTCGGAAGTGGCGACACTGTAACAACGAATGAAGATGACCTAGATTGTTTCAGTCGAAGATTGGGGAAGCCAGAAAAGGTGAAAAACGGGACACAAATCCGACAAGTCCGAAGATGAAAGGCAGCAGGACTAGGTAAAGTAAGGGGCTTGTAATTTTTCATTAACGCTGTACGTAACGAGCTATATTTCCCCGCTCAATATGATTTAATTGAAATGTGGCAAAGTACATAAATTATGAACAGTGGAGGAACGGGAACTTGTGTTACTGCAATATTTTCGGAGAAATATCCAGGGGCAGACTGAGCCAACAGATGCAAAAGCCCCGTACCGAACTACGGTAGCTTACTTATAGCTTATAGAAAACTGTTGTTTGTGATTGTATGAGCTTTACACCCAGAAAAACGGGCTGCTTCGACCCTGCCTGTCAGGACCATACTAGGCTGATGGATAGAGATAACCGATTAAAAAGACACAACCCCCCTCTTTGGGAATCAAACTCACTTTTTGTGTGTGCGAGGGCGAAGGTTTTAATCAGAACACAACAGACGCCGGTAATAGAGCTGTCCTCACACGGACTCTATTAAAATAAAATAATTAGTGTGTGGGTGTGTGTGGG